AGGAAAAGCAAACGGAGTACGAAGGCCGTTCAGGCCTAACACAGCTGTCTTTCATGATGGCCCCCACACTTTAGGATGTGGTTAGAAGGGGATGAAGAAAATGAAAAGGAAAGGGAGAAGAAAGCACCATGCAAAATTACTTGAGGAAAGGGCTGAGGTCAATGGTAGGAGTGATCCCTACATTGGGCCTCATTCTCCGTCTCGTAACTCCCCTATTGATTACCCTAAGGGTCAATCAGTGATAGTAATAATAAGATTCAACAAAGAGATTTATAGAAAAAGCTGTCAGATTTGAGGGCTGAATATATCATAATTATACAGTAATTTCTTTTCATTTCCAGATTGTGTAGTGTATACAGGTTTGTATCTCATTTGCTTCCCCAGTTATTAATACAAGGAGAAAATTGTACTAGTATCTTTGAGCAATAATGATTAACTATTTATGTGCATTACATTTAAAACAAATGTTTTTGCACTGAATTTTCCACACTGTACACTAAATGCTCTGCGCTGGTGTTAGAGTATGGGCCTTTCCATCTTTTCCATCAAATCTTTCCATTACTTGATCTTAATAAGAACTGGAGAGACAGACAGTAAAGAGAGACACAGTGGCATAAAAGAAAACGGATGGGCATAGAAAAGACAGCTGAAAAGGTGGGATAGATAGACTAAACCAAAACAATCATATACTGGCAAAAAAGTGAGAATAGGTGGAATTAAAATGTCTACCTATGAGTAAAAAAAAGACTTTGCATTTTCCTGCATATCAAAAAAAGTCTTAGGATATAAGAAAAAAGAAGAGAAACCAAGCAGTTCCTTTTATATATAATATTTCGTGAGAGCTTTTAAATCATTATTACATTAAAAAAAGGAAAATATTAAAAAACACAAAAATGCATCTTTTGAAGACATGCACCATAAATATGAAATACAGCATAAGGTACTCCAACACAAACATGCAAATAGTCGACACTATTTTTTCCTGTGGCGATGGAGAGGAAACTGTGGTGGTTCATGTGACACACCCTATAGAGTTCATGGTTTACTCGTCACCTGAGGAAGAAAAATAGGCAGAGGATATAGATTCTTAATATATTTTAATATCTACATGAGTATATATACAGTATCCGGATGAACAATAGCAATCATACTATGCCTTTTTCTTGGCATAAAATGCTTGCTTACCCTCACCGTCACCTTGTTTCTCATTTTCCTTCTTCGTCGGACTCGAAGGTGTTGTCTGGGATTGTCGTAGAGACGAATCATGGCCTGGAAGAGGAGGGGGGGGGGGGGAATACTCTTTATTATGATTCTCTTTTCTATCATAATTGCTATTACTACTACTAGTATTATCCCTGTCATGTCATTATCATTGCAATTATTATTATTAATATTAATATAATCATAATTACTATTGCTGTTTTTATTAAATGAATGAAATTAAGTTCTGTAGAAGATGTGGAGGAACTATAAACATTAACAAAGATCAATAAAATATCTTGATATTTCTCCTAGGTTAAATTATTTTTTAGAAAGACATATTTGGGCATTTCTATGATTACACAACAAACAATAATGCTAATATTTTAAACATTTCAAATGTAATGAGAAAAATTATTTTGGATGCACAGAATGAGTCTAACAAAGTTTAGAAATTAACATCATGAGAAAAAGCAAAAATAGTACAAAAAACATTGAAAAAAGAATAAAAGAAAATATTAACCAAATAAAATTCTAGCCCACCTTATTAGGATCCTTCATGATGAGGTACTTCCCATCAGGCAGTTTCATGCACATGTCAATGATGCAGCGCAAAATACCCCATGCGTTATCCATGTTGAGGTTAATCTGGTTGGCGAACTCCATGGGCTTGAACTGCTGCGTTCCCAGGATCATGTGCTTGGTTGAGTCACGCACATTCACACGAGACACATAGCTGGAAATTGTGCCAATTGGATGAATATAATCAAATGTACATATACCTGGTAAACATGTTTATTTATTTACTTTGTTTCTGTGATGCAGTAGTGACAGTACTTGTGTCTAATATAAAGACATCTAGGATACTGATAAATCAAGACCAACAAATTGTCGTCAAGAAAGATGTATTAAGTTAAGTTTGGTATCACTGTGGCATCCCCATATACAAAACAGGAAAGTCCTGCCAACAAAATATTGAAGATTCTTTACCAATCTCTCATCCCTAATTCAGAAGAAAGACAAAGAAACTAGAAGCACTCAGAGGGCATACCTCTGCCAAGGAATAAAGCCACTGATGCAATAAAAAATTTCTGGATCCACATCATGATCCAGATCACCACCTAAATTTAATGGCATCTAAGTTGGGCTAAGACATACCTTAGGTAAAAATTTCACAAAACTCTGTTCATAACTTTTTAAGTTATCCTGCTAGCCAACAAACAAACAATATATGGATTGCCATCAAAATTTAATGTCATATAAGCTCAGATAAAAATTTAATAAAAATCTGTTCAAACTT